GTGAAGATTTGCGTGCGAACTCAAAATCAATGACATGAACAAAGTGCATGACTGATATCTATAGCTGCGACTTTTTGTGTCCGGGTGGATGTAATGATAAACAAATGTGTTTGAAGATCCCAGGCGGAGAGTATAAGAATTTATCAAATCATTCCCCAGGGGCTCTTTAAGTTTCTATTGATGCGTGCAATTGCTCAATCGTTCTAAATATAAATCCGAAACCCTCAAAAGATCAACATGTTACTAATTTGTTGCACATACATTTTGCTGAATTCACCTAGGCTAAAAAGTACGCCTAGCTTAACTTAAATATTTATTTATCCCCTTACACTTTTATTTTGATCAACTTTCAAAACACCGATCTGCCATAGTTTTGGTTCAAACTTTTTGCTGGACTTTTTCACAAAAATGGAACAGATTTGACTATTTATTTCCTAGTGAAAATAATCTTTTTGAAATTAGCAAATTTTCTACTGCTTCGTCCCAAAATTGACGGGTTACGCGAACTTGCCTTTTTATATTCAGTATCAATAGCACAAATTATAATTATAAACTGTCATGGGAAATATCTTTCTCTGTATTTTATTGGCTAGGACTATTGTAACATCACTTAATTCACGCAGACACATAAGCATTCCCACGCGGTTAGCAAAGTTGGTATCATCTGCGTAGTCTTAAAATTTTGAAGCTCTCGAAGTTTTGTAATTTTTGCTTATAAATTTGTTTGAATTTTCTATTTGTTTTATTTAATGACCAAACACCGCGGTATATTACCTTGAACCTCGCAATCGAATTAATTAGAAGGGCTTGCATGTACTTGTGACGTTGATTTCCTTCGTTAATAAGATTAATTTTGCAAGACCTTGTAACTCTGAGTTTTGTCGACATGACATTTTGGCGTTGTTTAGTTATTTTTTACTGGTACAACTGCATTGCTGAAGGGTCTCTAATCTAAAAGTCTTTCTGATTTTAAAGATAAACATAGTTTGCGACTATAATTAGGTTTGATACTTTTCATTATGCTTGCAGGTTAATATGAGACTGGGCATAGACGATTTTGAATCCGAAGACGTTGAGGTCAACAATAATTCAACAGTTATCAAGCCCAATAATCATCAGTTGGCACAGAATTCCTTCTCCTGGTGGATCGCGGTTCTTTTGATCTTTTTCGGTTTCAGTTCATGGATTGCTATAAATGGCCTTTGGATGGAACTTCCACTTTTGGTAAATGTTCTACCAGAAGGCTGGAACCTTCCAGCCTATCTTTCCATCATCATTCAGGCAGGTTCTCTCTAATTAGTCCACTTGTACTAGATTTGTATTCCCTTTTAACTTTCGACTCTTTCTAGTGAATACGTATATGCCACTTTAAATACCGGCATTATTTTGCATGCATAAGCCAAACGCTTTTTAAAGTATTTGCGTAAAGTTGCTCAAAATGAATTAATAAATATGGTGTATTTGTAATGCCATAGCAACTGCGATTTAATTAAAGAGAGTCTAGTTTCTAAACTAAGACTAAAGGTTTTCCGACTTATACCCAGGCGGTGGTTAGGCCTCCGGCCCAGGCCGCAGGATTAAATTTGGATGCAAACAATTTTCAACGGCTCGCTACTGCTTACTCTCTCGAGCTCATCCTCTATGATGCTTAGCTTTTGGAAATTTTCATTCAGCTATGGACAGAATACAAGATTGGTACCACGTTAATAGGCGTGCCCATGACAAACATTTTTCATTTGATCAAGATTATGTTTTTAGCTGAATTGCTTTGCTTCAGTTGACCTTGCAAATCTGACAGTCCCCATTAGCTTCACTCCGATAGATGTAAGGCTAATAGCTACTTAGTTTCCTTCCATTTTTACTGCTTCCCTTTTCTGCCCTACAGTTGGCCAACATCGGTCCCCTGGTATATGTTCTGCTGACCCGAATCTGTCACACCTTTGGACGAGGCCAGAGCAATAATGGATGCATGCGTCTCATCCAACCGCCAGAGCGTCTGGCTAACTACACCATTCTCATCGTTGGATTAGTTGCCTCACTTTTGCTTATGTACTTCTGGAATGTGAGTCTCCATAATATCTTTCGAGGCAGTAGGACATGACGTATCTGTGTGTATATGCTTAGAATCCGCCTATGTATGTGTACATAATTTTAAATGTCGATGCTCATTTGTGCGATTTGTTACATGTCCACGTGGGAAAGGATCATCCTTTCTCTTTTTAGCACAAGCAGTAGAGTACAATGATTGTGCAGTAGAACATTGTCGAATGATTAAGTTCTTGACTGTAGTTCTACCTTACAGGCAGTGGTGGTGATGCCAGGACTCCCTGCTAATGCAGTTTACGGAGGGACGGCGACTCCAGAGGCTCTATACGGTCACAGTCTGGGCCTCTTTATGCTGACCTTTGCGCTAGGCATGATCGACTGTATGTCCTCCGTCACCTTCCTCGCCTACCTTGCCAACATGCCGGCGGTGTACGCGGGAGCACTGCTCTTCGGCGAGACCGCCTCCGGTCTTCTACCTAGCCTCTACGCCCTCGGCCAAGGTGTGACCACCGAGCCCATCTGCCTTCCTTCTATCAGTCGTACGTGCCCCACTACCATCCCCTCTCTGTACCTTAAATCAGTAGCAGACTTTTTTTACTCTCCTTTACTCCGTAAACATTGGCGCAGAACCACTATGTATAATTCCGTCGATAATGTTTAGCTATGCAAATTCAAGTCCTTAAAAGGAGGACTGCGGTACAGTTTCTTGTGTGCCCGATTCGCGTTCTGTAATATCTGTGAGCCAAGTTTGTTCTGGCCATATAAAGAATAAGAGACAGGAAGTTTAAATACAAGACATCTCTTTTATCGGCGGTTCGCATTCACATGCTATAGCACTAAATGTAGTTCAAATGAGCCAAAGCGTTCCACGTATTTTTGTACGCTTACAGAGAATGGAACAACAGAGTATCATCCGGTGTACTCGCCACCGAACTTCGGGGTAGCCACCTTCATGGGTTTGGTGGCAGGTACCACAGGACTGAGTCTATTGGCTTTTGCTTTGCTCGACTGTCTGCCCGCAGCTCTCGGCCGCTCAGTTACGCTGGCCTATCAGCGCCATCACGCCGTCCCTACTGTCCCCATTACCGACTCCACAGACCTCTCCAAATCCAGCGGTGCGTTCGCCTCTCTTTCGGCTCTTAATAATCGGACTTGCCAACTTTAATTGTCTTTACTTTTAAGTAGGTTCGGAAGTACAGTCAGGTGTAGTCGGTGCAACTGGTCTCTTCTGGATCTGTTTCCTTCTAATGGGTTACACAAGCTGTATGACCAATGGGCTACTACCTTCACTCCAGTCCTTCTCCACTGCCGCCTACAGCACGCATACCTTCCATCTGGCTGTCACCCTGTCTGGCCTCACCGCTCCTCTTGTGGCTCTTGGCGTTACTGCTGTCTACGGCTATGACCAGCTCGGTCTCTGGGTGCGCTCAATCCTCTGTTGCCTCTGCTATAGGAAAAACAAATCTCTCGTGGTGAGTCAATTCACGGAGTCACTGTCTTCCCTTCTTCAATAATTGTGGATTTAACTGATGGGATTGTAGTACGATCGCAATTCACCGGAGAATGTCAATAAGCAGTCCAAGATGGCCTCCGTTATGGGCGGTCAGCTGGCGGTGATTCTGACACTCATCGGTGTGATTGGCACCCTGTTTTCCGGTTACATTATCTTCTTGGCCAAGGCCTCGCCTTCACCGCCCACTCTGGGAGGTGCTGGTCCCGCTTTTTCAGTAAGTTTTCTCATCTCATAGGCAGTTTTTTTAAGCACCTATTGTTTTACCCAGCTATTTAGTTAAAAGAAGGGTAGTATAAATCTAAATGAGATTGCCTTCTGGGTGTATTTAATTGTCATTTAGTAGACTATAGACGTTTTACTGAGGCCTCCAAAACTGCAACCACTGCAAGCTGCACTCATTAGCCAAAACCCTTCATCCAGTGCTTCAACACTCTCTGGAAAGCATCTTGGGCATTGGCAGATTTATAAGTGCGGCGGAACTCTCCCAGAACAGTCCGCTTCACTTCGACATCTATGACGAAATGCTGACTTCCACATGCTTCCACTGTTTAGATTGTTTTCTTCATTCCGAGGTTAGGTACTGTGCTTGTCACATGTCATGGTGCGATTGGAAATCATGCAAGGTGTGATAGAGGAAAGCAAAAACGCGTCTTGTCAAGCCACAGGTAATGGGGTGAGGATAAGGCAATTGATCTACACTCTGATTACTTGTTCAGGGGCATGACCGTAAAGTTGGTGGAGTGGAAATGGGATCGCCAGGACCGGGATTGTCACCTATCTACCGGTTGATGTACGGTGGTCTTTTGACCGCCGATGTGACTCGACTTTGTTTATCACACCCGAGTGTTCGAGCGTGGCATCACGACACGTTCCATATGTTTCAAAAATACGGTTTGACATCTGCGAATTTCTCAGCTTAGCATCTTCTTTGATGCTGACAGCACCTTGTATCGTGGGTACGTGTTGTTGCACAGGTGTTGTTTATCATTTTGACCAACGGCGTGTCGATTGGACCGAACTGAACTGTCCAAGTTAGATGTGTGGGTTGACTACTATGCCTGACAGTAAGATACATTTGTGACACACTGGTGTGTGGGTCTGTGTAGTATCGCCACGGTGGCATGCCTCGTCATTCGGTAGAAGGTACTAGATCACAAATCCCGGTTCGACTTGAACGTCATCCTATTTCCTTACCAGCGTTGATGCTTCAAAGGTAAGTCGAAAAGTCCGCTTGAATGTCTCCAATTTGTATTGTTGCTGTCGTAGGTGCTGGCTTGGGTTCTGATGACAGCGGCTTTCAACATCCAAAAGACGTGGATCACCCTGCACCTGGTGAAACATGGCAGCCAACGCAATCTACGAACCCTAGGGGTAGCCAATCAGATCGGTTCAGCGGTGGGTGCCCTTATCAGCTTTCTTATCACCGCCAAATTCAACATTTTTGTCTCCAAGCCTCCATGCTCCTGAACCCTTCATCATCGTTACCAACTCTCAACTTTGATGTTATTTTATACCTTTTACAATCAACTTTTACTCGCCCCAGGCAACTGTTTCTTGTTGACTCCACTCGCCCTGGTTCATTTATCTTCGGTAAACTGGTAGATTTCTCGTTTAAATAATAAAAATTGCTGTGAACTGTTCGCCTTACTCCCCATGCTGAAGTTCGCCACTGCTATGTTCATGTTGGTTGAATCCTTTCGTGAAAGTCGTGAGAAGGGAGGGCCTATAGGCGAAGAGTGTCATTCTTTTTCCTCTATCACGCTTCACTTTTTAATCTCAAGAAGTAGAGAAGTAGAATTGACTTTAAAATACGGACAAATTACGTTATCTGTGGCGTGACAGGTCGCGTTTTTCAGCTTTTCACCATCAAAAAAGACCTTCGCGTTTTATCGGTTTGAAGGACCAGTCTCGTTAAGCAGGTCACCTTGCATATTTCCAATCGCATCATGACATGTGCCACAATGTGACATGTACATCATGTTAATTTGAAATGAAGAGGACAATCGAAGCAGCGGAGGCTTGTGGAGGTCATTACTTCGGAAGTGGATGCCGACGTCAAAGTGCCTACTCTGAAAAGATTTTAACTGCGTGGACAAATACTCTGATGCCTGAGCTGCTTTCCGCATATTGGTGGAGTACTGGGAGTAGTGTGTGAATGTAGGTAACAGCTGTGGGGGATGGCTTAAACTCCGACGATCGCCACCAGGAGGGTTGTGGGAGCCCTCCTTGTTCTTGGCAGTCCCCCCGTCATGCCTCCTTTCTGCTGTTCTACAGCATGACTTGGAACAGCTGAAGCGACAACGGTTTGAGGTCTTACTCCATGAGGTGTTGTGTGAAGTTGGCAAACGCGATTTAATCTTTTCCACTATTTTGTAATTTGGCATTTGTAAAAGGCGTTTCTGTGAGACCTACCCCTGTTGGGACGCGCCCTTGAACACCGAACTTGCCCGCCAAATGGCACGTAGGTGTCGACTGTAATTGGCACGCGTGACATCAGAAAGGAGATTAATGCCAGCTGGTCACAGAAGCGGCGGCGTGAGCGCCCCACAATGACCAACCAATGTTCTGTCTGTAAGCTTTGGCAAGTTAGAAGCTGGTGCTTTCGCTCCTCTCATAATTAGGCCTAAAGGGGATGTAAAATGCCTTAATAAGCCTCTAGGGTGGTGCTCCATCTGTCATCGGTAAGAGTCGTGTCCCATTCCGTGTTTACGTGTTCGTATGTGTGGTTCACCTCAGACGCGATCATTTACAGGGAATGTGGGGAAGTGGGACAAGTTAGAGTTTGGCTTTTCTTTATTCTAATAACAAATTTTACACGTTTATGTCCCAGCGGGGGACTGAAAACAGGTTGCATTCGATTACATTTTGACTACAAAAAACGCCACGCGAACTTGTCTGGCTGTCCACTGGCTATTGACTTCGCTATTCGTCTCATGATGTAATTAACTGATAAGATAAACACTCCTAAAAGTTATTTTTTTATAACTTAAATGTAGGCGGGAGGTAATCAACTGCATAACCCATCCGGACCCACCCAGTCACAAGTGCCCACTTATTTCCCCATCTGCGTTGACTATCAAAATATGCATGGCCGAATTATTAGTCAAAATTTACCTAGTTTTTCACGGTACCAAACCTTGGATTTTTTTTCTGGAAAACTTCACAAGGAGCCGCGTTGGAAAGCCCGGCCTCCCTTCACGGAAAAACTTATTGATCGAAACAAATTTAAGAGAATTGTGTTTTTGCGATTTATATAAGAAACCCAGAAGTAGGAGAAATTGTTTTTGTGCTTTGATGAATTTACAGTTGGATTGTTATTAAAAGTTCTCCGGCACATTTCTTTAATAAGCACTTTTTGCCGGTGCAGAATTATTTTAATCGATAGGAACTGCAAGAGGGCAGGATCCGGAGCAATAACATGATGCTTTAGCAGAAGAGGCGTATTAAATGTACAGAGAAGAGAATAAAAGACTAACTACAGGAAGACTGTTCTGAAGAAATTATCTTAGTAATAAATGAACTAGCCTTTTGTAATACGACAGTGGTTTATCCCTCGGTTCTGGTGAGGCGCCACTTTTGTACTTTGAACTGGCCCCCTTGTACCTCGCTGGGTGGGCTGGCCTTTGGGCCATGCCGGTAGCTCCGACACATTCTCCGTGCTAAATATGTATATTCTGCACCAGTATTGTGTCTTTTTTCGTCTTCAGGGAGTCTCGAGACGCTACATTGGTGGCAGCGGAAAGCAAACCCGATCTTAAAAGACATGTATCCTGATTTCCCACTTCTGAGTGATAAGCCTTATTGGAACGGAAGAGGTACATATGCTACGGATGGGAGAATGGTGTTGACCCCTAACAGAAGGGTTGATATTGACGTCTACCTTCGGCATCCATCCCAGTCCCGTGTTCTGCAGAAAAGCTATTAACAACTGAAGCGACGCTGGCCGTGAACTATCTGGAAGTTTCGTTACGGATTTCCCCTACCGTCCCCCATGGACCTGTTTTAAATCTTGTACGTCCTTACTCAAATCTGCTTTTAGGCCAGTGTTCCTGCATCTATCTATGGACATGCATGATGGCCGACGCAGTTCCCCGTCCTGAATCAAATCCCTGAACCGGACGAAACTCCAGATCTAGTTAAGCTGTCAAGAGGGGTCAGTGACGTTGAGGTCAAGTATCCCTTCAGTTGCGCGCTAATTTGGTGACTGGCACGGTCGGCTCGTGGGTGTTTACTGCACCGACTACGTTGTAATGGCTGACGCGGGAGGTTGACCTGCGGGAGCGCCGGGGACGACGCTCAAAAGAGGAGGGAGGCTATGTAATACGATATTGGTTTATCCCTCGGTTCTGGTGAGGTGCCACTTTTGTACTTTGAACTAGCCCCCTTGTACCTCGCTGGGTGGGCTGGTCTTTGGGCCATGCCAGTAGCCCAGACACCTTCTCCGTGCTAAATATATATATTCTGCCCGAGTATTGTGTCTTCTTTCGTCTTCAGGGGGTCTCGGGACGCTACACTTTCGTCTAGCGCAGTTGAGTAACGGCGAATTGAGGGGAAGTGATTACTGCGGAACATAAAATGCCTTGAGTTGTTTTTTAATGAATATCTCTGCGTTAGCCAATCTTCCCACAAGTAGCTATTGGAAAACAAAATCTACTAGTTTAAGAGCATCCTCCAGCCTTGAGTTGTACGAATACACAAATCCCTATGGCGAAGACCATCAGAAAGAAATTGTCGGTCCTCCACAGCCGCTAAAATCCCACCGTATAACCCTCACCCCTGACTCGTGGAAGCACCGTGATTTGTGCTCCAGTCTTGATGGTATGGTCAGGAAGCCCAAGTCTATTACCTTTCAAGCCTTAGCAGTCTCACAAGCCTTTTTATTACTTCAGAGAGGACAAAGCTGTACAACTATTTCTACTGTTGAGCAACGAGCACAAATCACTATTACGAATGGCCGCTTCAATGTGTCTATTTTTAACAACCAAATTTGTACTTGGTGACTCGTGAGTGGTTCTGGAGTACAGACTACGTCTTGATGATCAACACAGAAGAGAAACAACGTAGGTAACCAGGTGCAACTCGCGAAAGGAAATGAGAGCTGCTTATCCCTGCAAACTCTACAGCCTTCGTGGTTTTAGTCACTAGTTTGATGCTGTGACAGCTCCTAGACGCACGTATAATAAAGCTGCCGTAAAAGATGGCAAAAAAAAAGTGTTTGCGAAGATCGCATGTCCCATTATTTCATCCACTCAAAAAATTTAAGAACAAGTGGATATTGACGAGGTCACTAATCCTATGTGCTTTTGTGATTGGTGCAAGTAAACAACCAGTCTTAAATTCCCTAATTTACTAAATCTACGCTCTTTGCTGCCGTCACACATGTGTGACACATGTTCCTTATCAATTTATAACAGCTCATTGTTCCAAGTTGTTTTTTTTCAGCTGATTCTTGAGGGTAGTGGAGGGGGAGTCCCGGCGCTTGGCTTTTCGCCAAGGCACCGTAGCTCACCTGCCTAGGAAGAGGATCATGCCATGCCTTTTCTTACCCAGTGATGACGATAATAAATTTTACCACCAATTAATCCACGAGCTAATTCAATGTCAAAGCCAAGGCAGATTAACTGCACACGTCTGCACTCTCATCCAGATGCCAGTACTTTGCACAGCCTTCACAAGTAGATGTCACACCTAGATCAGGGCTTCTCGTACCTTATTTTGAAGTGACATCCTTCCACTTAATTTAATGACAGATCCTACAGGCATTGTTGGCCATAAATAATCGTATAAACTGACAGAAATTCTACCAGGATGTGGATAGCCTCTCAAGGGGATTAACTGCAGCGGTCCAGGTCTTCCTCAAAGCCAAAGGAGCAAAAGTGCCAAAGAGCTAAAAAGAATGAGGCGCCCGCGCAGTTATCAAATTCTACAACACATCAATCATCATTCACCTCCATCCCTTTAAGAGTAAAATGTCCACAACAATGAATGATTTGGACAGGTGAAAGAGTACGTTAAGAGTGACCTGAGAAGAGAGCAAAGGGTAATATCAAAGGATTCGATATAAAAGGCTCCAATAAAAGGCCTAGCTAAAGTGATGGTGGCGCAGAAGTTATGTACAGGGTGCTTTGGAGACAAAAACGTTGAATTGGGCCGTGAGAAGGAAGCTTATCAGAGCGCCCGCTAATGATCCAATCTGACTGGCAATTCCCAGGGTTCGAAGATTTCGTTGACTGCCGTGCTTCACCAGATGTAACGTGATCCATGTCTTCTGAATATTCAACGCGGCTGTCATCAGAATCCACGACAAAACCTGAGAATATCGGCACCGTAAACAGTCAATGCAAGGAAGTCGAGTTGACAAGACGATCTTAGTCGTGCCTGTTGCATAAGCATCACCCAGACAGCAAAATCTGAGGTTAAAGTAGCCAAAAAGTGGAGCAACTGCCTCATTCCCATCACCTCATCAATTCACACGTCGTTACCTGTGGCGTGGAAAGATGCGCTTCTGCTTTTCTCCATCACACAAGGCCTTCATGTTCCACTGAATAAAAGGTCATCTTGCATATTTCCAATCGTACCATGGCATGTGACACAATGTGGCAAGCACAGCACCTAAACTCGGAATGAGGAGAAAGATCGAAAACAGTGGAAGCATGTGGAAATTAGCATTTCAACACAGAACTGACTGTTCTGGAAGAGTTCTGCCCCCCTGGTAAGTCTTCCTATGACTAGGCTGCCTTCCGGGTATTAGTGAGACGCTCACATAACCTAGTAGACATAGAGGGGAACTATATGATGAAATAAATGCAGATTGCACCACGTGACGTTTGTCCGCCGCTTTTATAAATTCAAAAACTCCAAACTAACTCGAATGCGCCTTGAGATTAGGCTTACACTCTCAGACGTCAGTAAGGGGAGATGAAGAAACGGAACGCATAGAAAGTGTAAAAGGGGACGCACAGTCTTACCGAGAATGCTGAACCAGCACCTCCAAGTTGTGGTGGAGAAGGAGATGCAGCAGCCAAAAAGATAATGTAGCCAGCAAAGAAGGATCCAACCACACCAAGGAGTGTCAGAATTAATGCCAATCTACCGCCCACGATAGAGGCCATTATCGTTGGATGCTGGGGTGTTTGTTGATTGCCATCCTCCGCCGAGTCGCAATCATCCTGCAATGCCACCAATTAAATTCACAATCGGTGAATCAAGAATGAATAAGGAAGGGAAAGAGAAGAAGCTCACCATGAAAGGTCGACTGCGACTGCAGAGGCAAAAGCGGCGGAAAATGGAGCGTATCCAGAGGCCAAGTTGATCATGGCCGTAGGAAGCAGTGACGGCAACAGCCACGATGGGTGCTGTGATGCCAGACAGTGTCACGGCCAGGTGGAATGTGCGCGTGCTGTAGGCGGCAGTGGAGAAGGACTGCAATGAGGGCAACAGCCCATTGATCAGGCAGCTGGTGTAGCCCGTTAAGAGGAAACAGATCCTGAAGAGACCATCCGCGGTCATTCCATGCGTTTCCATGCTCATCGCCAACGCTGATTCCGTGGCTGGTTTAAAGAGATGGATAAGTCGTGTCTGGGAGTCAGACAAGCGAGGAGGGTAAGAGATGGGGGACGAAGTGGAGGTCGGACGCACTTATTGACTTGGTGGAATCTTCACGGCGGTCCGCGACGTTATCGGTGGTGGAGGCAGTTGGGAGGGAGTGGTGGCGCTGGTAGGCCAGCGTGACTGAGCGGCCGAGAGCAGTGGGCAGACAGTCGAGCAGTGCGAAAGCCAACAGACTTAGTCCTGTGGTACCTGCCACCAGACCCATGAAGGTGGCTACCCCGAAGTTCGGTGGCGAGTACACCGGATGATACTCTGTTGTTCCATTCTCTGCAAGCATGCATATATAAGGCCCTTGTGGTCATTCTTCCTCTTTTGTGCTCCCTTCTGTCCTCACTGTTTGCAGTTACGATTTCGGATATGAAGTCCTGTCAAGAAGGACACGTCGCACATCCTAGCTCGGTGTCTTTAATTCGTTACACCCGACTCCCACAAATTTTTTGTTCCTGTCTAGAGAAATATGGATCCCAAAGAATGTAGATTACTGGTAGCAAAAAAACAACCCTGCTTTTATTTTTGCAACGAAAAATAATGCCTGCAGTGTCTAATAGGATTCAATATGGTTTAAAACCCAAAACAATAAATCAGACAGATGAGTTTTAATGGAACTATCTCCCAGAGCTAGGAGTCGGTAGAACTAAGCCTTTTTTTAAGCAGGGATAAACATGAGTGACTTTGAGTTGAAAGGCTCAAAAACCCTGTCAAAACACCGTGTAGACAAACATCTTAGATGATGAAGGAATATGCATTACCTCAACACTAAAGGCTGTCAATTCAGGAGGTAAGTGAACATTTTAAGGCGCGAAAAAATTCACTCCGATGGTGTAATTAAAAGCACTTGTCAACCTTGACACTTCAGGTGAGCGCATTCGGATTGTCAATGCACCGGTTTCAAGAGAGTGAAAAACACAAAAATACTGCAACTGACTGTCTAGTGGGAGCCTTATTCCATCGTCAAAAGGTCATTTTTTGCATTTTGTGTAGTGGTGGCTCCTCCTGAATTACCGCACGACAATTTTGGTCGGTAATTTTGAAACAGAATCCGAGATATGGCTTAATCATTTAGCATACGTCATGTCTAGTAGTCCTACCGCCAACAAAACCGCGTAACGGTTGAGTAAGAGAGACCTGTGATGCTTTCAGGGTTAACGAGGAGTGAAAATAAGATTACTATTAGCACGGTGGGGCGGAGGTTAAATACCGTTGACGGAGGGCACGCAGATCGGCTCCGTGGTCACACCCTGGCCGAGGGCGTAGAGGCTAGGTAGAAGACCGGAGGCAGTCTCGCCAAAGAGCAGCGCTCCCGCGTACACCGCCGGCATGTTGGCAAGGTAGGCGAGGAAGGTGACAGAGGACATACAGTCGATCATGCCTAGCGCAAAGGTCAGCACAAAGAGGCCCAGACTGTGACCGTATAGAGCCTCTGGAGTCGCCGTCCCTCCGTAAACTGCATTAGCAGGGAGTCCTGGCATCACCACTACTGCCTACAAGACAGCGAAACAGTCACTCACACTCACTCGTTGCTCACGTGCTAGCCTGTAAAAACTTTACAACCACCGGGTTCACTCGATCACTTACAGTAACGGACAGGTGAAGAGTAAACTCCTTTACACCTCCTTTCACGGTATAACTCATAATATGTACCTACGCCCACATAAATTCCATTCCTAACTGCCCCAAAAACATAGTGTGGAGACTCACATTCCAAAACTGAGTGAGTAGAAGTGAGGCTATCAGTCCGACACTAAGAATGGTGTAGTTGGCCAGACGCTCTGGCGGTTGGATGAGACGCATGCACCAGTTGCTGCTCTGACCTCGCCCAAAGACACGGCAGATTTGGGTCAGCAGAACATATACCAAAGGACCGATGTTGGCCAACTGTAAAGAAAGGAAGTAACGGAAACAATTAAAAACTGCGTAGAACATGCTCAAGACTCAGTAGAACAAGGCTCATGAGGGGTTCCAACAATTCCATAAGGTCCCCATAAAAAAAATTTAATGAGTAAAACATTCCCACCTAAAAGGATGATTTAATGTTCTGTGAAACGATTCAAATAATATCCCTAATCAAGTTTTTTTTCTCCCATGACTAATAGTTCATCGTGTAATTAAGATAAAATCCGGCCAAAATTTTTGTAGAAATAAAGACGGATGCATATGAGGAAAGTTGCTTGCCAATGTTAAGCATTCATATAAACTCCATGATTTCCAGAAAAGCTAAAGCTAATACCCCTAAATCAAAGCAAAAGTTATTAAATCCTTCGCTTAACTTCATCATTCATTATGCACTACCACAGATGTATAAGCTAGTTTTTTGTGTTCAATTAACGATGGCAAGTGATGGTATGAACATGCCACCACGACAAAAGGATATCCCAGTTATAATCTCATATACGAGCACACGGCTCTTTTCAATCTAGAGAAATGTGAATAAGCTTTTATCACCAATACCACCGGTTGTTAATAAATATTATTGATTCTGTGCTCTTGTCGACGTGAATCACAAACAACTTAAAAGCTACACAGTAAGGTAATTCAAAGTTAAATAAAATCAGCTTGCCTGGATAATGATAGAGAGGTAGGCAGGAAGATTCCAGCCCTCTGGAAGGACGTACACCAAGAGGGGCAGCTCCATCCAGAGACCATTGATGGCAACCCATGAACTGATACCGAAGAAAATCAAAAGTGCAGCATTCCACCAAGAAAAGGATATTTGTGCCACGTGATCATCATCCGGTTCAAGAATCGTTGGACCTGTGTACACCTCGGTATCACCTAGTTCGCCATGCCCAAAGCCAGAAGCCATCTCGGCCTAGAAGCATGGAACTCAGGTTAAGATAGACTGATATCCTCGACACATGAACATGTCTTTTTTCCTCGTGCGTCTATAAATTGGCGTTGCTTCTTACAAGTTAAAACAGTTTGCTGTTGGCAAGTTTAACATTTTCAGTAAGTTGGGACCATACTAATTGCACTTTTGTCTACTTCCCAGTAGGATCATTTAAATGTAAGACTCCATCATCGGATATATGAAGAATGCTGAATAGAAGGAAGGTACAATGAATTTGTGCACGAACATTACAGTATAAATCTGCAAAACTGTCAAAATGACATCCAAAAATAGTGCAATAAAGAAGCTAAAACGAAGTATGGAATCAAAATCCAAAAATACGCACTAATGATTACAGGTTGGAACTTACTGTAGGCGGACTAGCAAAGAAGTAATATATACGCCGCCGAGGCGACTTCAAAGGCACCTAGAGGCGAGTTTTCGAGGTTATTACCAGTACGTCTAACCAATTAATTAGGAAGTAAGCGCAATGCCAACTTCCAATAGAGTTTCTCAAAAGTTCTCCTTTGGTACTGATAATGGAACAGAGTTTCTGCTCAAGCCACGAAACCAGTAAAAGCGAAACCATTTGTAGAAGACTAGAGGAAATTAAAGCTAACAGTTTTGTAAAAAAATATGCAACCGAAAGCACGTCAGTGACATCCAGTCTAATTTCACAGAGACAAAAATGACTAGTTTGTAATGTTTAAAGACTTGGGTTTAAAACTCTGCACTTGGAGAGCAAAAGATTGGGATTTGAGTGCATTTATCACCCAGTTTTCGCAGAAGAGTGAAGATTTGCCCAAAAAACTGTTGTATTGTGTGTATTCTACATAAAAGGTTTTTATAATATCCCGGTCCGACAGTGCGTAATATGAAATTGCCCAGCTGTTTTGATGAAGTAGAGCTTCCGCCAAAGCGTTGGTTTGTATCATTGTGTCTCTAAAACCTGAATCTATCACTTTATCTGAGCCTATGATATATCTACTTTTAGACAATGTTTGTTGTCCTTATTAGCGTACTGCGAACATAAACATGCACTTACCAAACTTTATTTGTCGGTGGTGAGTGGAATGTTGTGTAGATAAACATAGTGTAGTTTGATTTACTTTCCTGGAAAGAAATGCACATCTCGTTGTTTTTGATGCTTGATTTATTGAATTTTGGCTTGATTTTTCTTGCTTTTTCCTGCTTGGCGTGCTTGGCCCAAATTTGTCTCTAACTTATGAATATTGCACTTGAACTTCTTGAGCTCAAGCTCATTATGCATCAATCTGTTATTTTTGAATGCAGCATGTATAATCAATTATCCAAAAACAAGAGGCTACAAGTTTCAAGTGTTGAATCAACTTCGTCCTGTGTAAACTCTGACGAGTTTCAGTTATTTATTCGAGACAACACGTCACCGTACCCTCCTGGCTTGACGAACTTGGGCAACACTTGTTACATCAACGCGACTCTGCAGTGCTTGCTCACTATTCAGCCGCTAGTGGACTGGCTTGTTAGTCAACCCGAAAAGCACTTCCCTCAAAACCCAGAATCTGAAGGTCCTCTTCTCACGCCAGTTCTATCCAAATTAGTTGTAGCGATCTTTAGAAACGATTATGCCTCGGAATTGAAGGAATTCCGACAAGTCATCGGCGAACTTGTCAAGGTTCGTTTAACCCTGTAATGTCTATTCATGAGCCAACCAGTGCCATATCGAATGAAACGTGTCATCTCCTGTTTTTCAGGACTTCAAAGAGCCGCAGGAACAGGACGCCCAAGAATTTTTACTCTTCCTGCTCAACCGACTGCATGACGAGACGGCACAAAAGCCCACCGGTCGTGGTCCTAGGACTTCAGAAATTCTACGAATTTTTGAAGGCACGCTGCAAACACATCTCATCTACCCTCAGCATAAACTAAAGCCACGTTTGTCGAAGTCGTTTCTTAATGAATCGAAGAGCAATTCGGAAGTTTTTCTCTCCCTCTCCGTACCTATACCCCTTCCAGGAAATCAGTTAAAAGCGGCCACCGACTTGTTGGACAGCAACCCCTGTGATTTAAATATTGTATTCAACGAAATTCGAGCGCACAACTCAGTGAGTCAATCGAACAAGGCCTCTTTCTTCTCATTTGAGCGTTAATTTCGTTGGTATTTCTATCACTTCAGTCCATTTGCTTTCGTCGTCTGCTGAAGGTGCATCCAAGCACGGACATCCAGAGCGTTTACAATCAGGTTCTCTCCTTCCCCCCCATCAGTAGTAGTACCGCTCCCAAATCTTCACATACGACAGGGGGTGGAAGTCATCGAGACTCCAAAAAATCTACCATCGAAGAGTTCTCATCCTCATCTTCCTCCACTTCAGATCTCTTTATCCTCTTGCAGGTTAAATCCACCGGCTTTGGTGATTGGTTTTTGGTAAGTATAATTTTGGTGGGGCCCAAAGTTTGCTGCACTTTCATGTTCTCCGTAGTCTGCTTACGCTTTGACCTCACATATAAGTGCACACATGCAAGCATGTGCGGATGTTTGGACTTTTTTGAAATAAAAACAGTGACTTAAAATTTGAAGTGCTTTCAGACTCTTCAAATGTTAACTGAGTTATTCCTTAGGACTTTGGGAAGTAGCATTAGCGTGTTTTCGTTTCACCAAAGCGAAGGCCGGATCATGGAAGGCGAAAAGGCTTCTTCAGCAAAATATATAAATCGGAAAAATGTCATGCTTCTGCCTGTCGTCTTCTTTCAATAGACAAGGTTGATATCTGTCCCTGCGTTTATTTTGATGGATCCGTTGCGTTGACACAGGTGTTGCCCATCGCTGGATGATATTTCATGGAGAACGTTTCATGTGTCAGGTGATTGCAAATAGTAGTGAAATTATTCATCAAAGTACAGGACCACTTCCTAATATTATGTCTTGATTTCGTTTGCTCGCTAATTAAAAAGACCTTGGTCGCTTCGTGAATCATGGGAAGGTGTTGGATTGTCATGTCATGATAACAAATAACTTTTCCAAATTATACTCATAGATACAGTTCTTTTGGAAGGGTCTCAATTCGCTTAAATGTAATCATTTTTCACCATTGGCTACTACACCGAACTCAACGCATTTTTGTAGTCCTTCCTCTTTCTATGATGTTTTGGCATAGTATCCAACCCATGATAATCAAATTTGTCTTTTGAGGTGGATTCACCACGATGACGCTATAAATCTTTAACTGTGGAGAAACGCTGAGACACTTGATCAGATAATCGGACGACTAGGAAGGCACGTGCTCTCAATGTTTTTGCTTTCACAGGAAAGTTCCGGTCGTGCAGTCGACTTGACCGACGGTCTGAACATGGAGGATGTCTTCTTTACAAATTCGCATGTCATGAATGAATCGGTGAAACGGAGTCTCCTTAGTGGCGATGCCCTTTTCATCGTCCGTCTTAATAGCAAACCGTCGGTTGAAGAGCCACCACTCACTTCCCCCTCTTCCTCCTTGGACAAAAACGGGATCTCTGATGTCGAGGCGGGGAAACAGGTGTTAGACTCTGCTTCTTCCAGTGTAAGTCAACTTTTTTGAATTGCTTTAACTGGTCTGAGGTTTATGAAGCTTTCCTATTCTATTTATTCCTATCACTTGACCTGAAATCATTTTAGCTAAGGCTAGAAGGTGCACTACTTTTGGTAGTCAATTTTTTAAACTTACTAATCTCAAATTGCTTCATGGTTTTATCTCTAATGGCGAGATGAAAACATGCCTTTAGTGTGTGGTGCTAACAACTGAGTCAATTTGGGAAAACACTGACAATTGTACCTGTTAAGATTATCGTCATGCATAAGTAGTGTTTTCTTATGCAAATGCAGGAATCTCACAAGGGCTAATCCCTTGCTTTGTGACATGTCTATCTGTGTTTGTCTGTATATATGCGGACAAATTATCCGTTGTCCACCTATTTGTCGGGATCATTAGTCCCCTCTTTTGATTTTCTAGCTCATAAGGCAAGGTAATAGGGAAATTTGCGCTCACATCTATCAGTTGCTCCATTGGAAAACCCGATCTCTCCTAGTTGCCCAACGCAATGGCAATTTAGAGGCTTCACTTGCCCCTAAGCCTAAAAACTATTATCTTTAACCGATTTGTGTTCTCCTTAACAAATCCTTCGTATTGTAGAGAACGCCGAATATAACCTCTCGAATTACATTAAGAGCTTAAATGCTCTCTTGTTGTACGACTTTCTTCACCTCTTGTCGATCTCTTCCTTGCTTGTGCAGACAGTCGAGAGTAGAATGCAGCTGCTTTTGGTGCACGTGGAGGAACACAAGAACCGCACCTTCTTCCGCTCCCCCTCCAATGACAATAATGCTGCTCGAACGGAGAGCTTTCGAAGGTTCTCACCTCCTCTCAGTGTGAATGTAAGTACATTCCTTCCCACTCTTCCTATCGTGTTAATGGCTCCAAGCATGAAGTTCTTTTTTAAGATCATCACCATTCATCGTGTCCAGACAGTCCAGGGTAAGATGTACTTTCAATTCAGGTAGGTAGGAATAAGGAGACAGTTGTAATGTTTCACATTCAGCCATCCACATCAGCCGTCTTTTCTCCATTCTGAGATTGGCCTTGTCAAGCTAGTTTCTATCTCTGGCTGTAGTAAGTGCCTTTTTGAAAAATTGCCAACCTAAGTAATCGTCTTAATGTGACCTTTAAGGTCATTCGTGGATACTCCCCTTTCCAAAGCTCTTCATACTTCAAATCCCCTTAGCACAATTTTAAAAGGTATGTGGTTGATGAGCGAACTTATCTATGGTAGGCTGCAGGTCACAGGTGCTCACACCACCGTCGACAAGCAATGAATTGGTGATTAAATGACAAAATAACGTCTCGAATCCGTCATTTGGCTGTGTCAATTACCTTCCACGCCCCCCATTACATGGACGAGAATAACTGCTAGATGAATTCAAGGGCACTAATATTACTCGACTGCTTGACTTATTTTATGGCGACTGAATTCACCTCTAAAAATAGCAGGTAAAAGTAGTGAATCTGAATAACCACAAAGAAGTTGGAGATGGTACACTCTTAAACTGTTGTATCGTCTCACATCTTCCGTTGTAAAGCTTGGATTTGCCCACCTCGTGTTCTTGGGGAGCATTCGCCATAATATTTTAAGCTGCGTGAAATACCAATTCACTTTACTCTCTCCCACCTCTTTCCAGCTTTATGGAAATGCTCCTCTCCAGAATTGAAGACTCATTTGGTGGATGATTCTCCTAACATAGTTTGGAACCATCCAATCCCTGAAAAGGTCGTATGTTTGGACATTGTAGCACATCAAGTCATCCCTGAAGAATCAATCATTGTCCATTGTTAGCCTCCAGAGGGGCTGGGTGGTGATATGGACACATCGTGGATGGCTATAGAACCTGAGAGATTAGAATAACCCGCTTAGTTAAATGAAATTTTGGATTAATATCGTTTCACTTCGATTCACGCACTTCATTCATTCGCTCCTCCTCCCTTCAGGTTCCCAACGATATCTGTTTCGATAGTCTGCGTCTTCTGGCGCTGCAATCGCTGTTAGTGTTTTGTGGCAACCGCACTCCCACCGGGTCCATGTTGACGAGCGAAGTCTATCGTAGTGTCTATTTCTGGGTTGTAGATGCCGCGCCTGGGGTAAGTTATCCCGATCATATGGGAAGTTGTAAAAATTGCTGAGGCTTGTCACCATTCCAAGTCCACAAAAAAACGATATCGACTCACTTTTTAGTATAAGTTGATTTATTTCAGAAGGTGTATTTTTTGGCTGTAAAAGGGATTGTGTTTTTGTTCGTTTGATTAATTGATTGACACCAACGGAGTGGACGTCTATTTCGTGGCTTTTGTCTGGCATATCCGTAGTAAATTTGTTTATTGCATTATCAAACCGCATCAAAGGAGGAACATATATTAAGTGGCCCAAAAAGTCGGTACAAGTTGCTTTGATGGTTTATTTTGAGTTCTTATATCATGTGAATCTCAATTGAACCCCGTGAAAGTGGTTGAATCATGGTGACCCTCTATTTTCCAACCTTCTATTCCCCTATTCTATTTGGTAATGGTTAGGGGTTAATGATAATGCAGCTGAAAGGGAGGATAGCCGTAGAAGGTACCGAATAAGTAATTCCTATACGTGCGTTCGTTGACACTAGGTGACAGCTTGATGGGTGAAAAGACTGTCAATTTCTTTGTCACCTCCTCCCTCCATTTGATTTCGGCTTGGATTGTTTCCTGATTGGCTGACTGATTGACCGACTTGTGAGGAAAGGTGACTCTTGTTTGTGATGATTAAGCAGACAAATGATCCACTCACGACCCCACCCTTAGAAGATGGGCATCACTTCATCCATGCAAGACTATCCCTCCTTTCTGTGCACATGCGTCTGTATGGTGTATTGCAGAAGCAAGCCTTCTCTCGAGACTGCTTACCTGCTGAAGACTAAACAATTACTATTGAAGTCTGCCTCCTCGATGCAACTCTTTAGAAACAGCCAGGACTAGCGAATTAGGGTGGAATAATGCCCTATTCTTAATCCGCCCGATCTAATACAGGACTTCATACTGCCCCTCTTCTTCATCCTCCCGACATCCCTTCTGTCACATGCGAGACCAACAATTTGGAAGTGGGGGTGACTGTGGCAGTTATTTACACCTAAGGGACAAAACTGCCTTATTAGGGAAGTACAATAGATTGTAATGATGCCTATCCCTTTGTCAGTAGTGAATTCAGTAGTTAGTTCTGTGTCACGTTTCCGGTCCTTTCAGATGGTTTTGACCATTGAGGTAAAAAAAATCCAGACCAATCGTAAAAACGGACACACTTTGATGTATCTGAGATGCTTTGGTACTTGTCCTCGATGTAGCGGACTGGAGTAGGCGGGAAGCGAAAATCCTTTTTTCCACTTCCCAATGTTTGGCTGATTTGGGGGTTGAACGCCGTTGGACTAAAGAAATGCTGAAAGACCGTGTAAGGGAATCCATGAAGTGTAACACTACATGGATGAAGGTATTTTTGTACTTATTCCAAGCTGACACAGTCCACCTTTCTCGTACGTTTGTTTCTTTTTCGGTCATTAAAAAAACAGGCCGATGTAATATTGTTTCACGAATACCTTTGTTTCATTTAAATTGAGAAAATAGTGAATAACTTCCCAAGATAACCGTCTTCCCCCTTCTCCCCTTCCCATCATATCGCCACAATCTTTACCGGTGAGGCGAATACGTAATATTTTTTTTTGCCGCAGGAGTAGGTAAGTCACAAAAATAACTATTGCTAGAGGTTATCCGCTCCTATTTTTATCCCTTCATTTCATTGGTGGATACACTTTAATTCAATCTCACTCAACTTTAATGCCTCGTCTAACTCCTTTTGTTTTGTTTTTGTGTCTTTCAAAACAAAAAGGAGCCTTGTGAGATCGATTCAAGGCAGGAGTTTCCACTTCTCCACTCCACTATTGAGGTATCTTCCATCCCTTTGCCAAAATGGCTTTCTACGGAGAACGGTGATAGGCCTCGCCTCCTTCGTCTCCTAGTCGTTTGGTCTTCCCCACCCATTGATCCTCTGCCAACTTTCAAGGTGGATACGGACTTGCCTCTTCGGGACTTTTTGGCGGACCCCAATGTCAGCTCGGACTGCAACTCGCGTCTTGCTGGATCGAATAACCTTGAGGACTCGTATTTCACCATTGAAAAATGCCTTGAGGTTGGTAATTTGACACTGGTTTCTTTCTTGATATCTCCCAGCCATTATTACTGTTATTTCTTGACTTAGGCAATAAAACTACTGCGAGAGGCAATTAGGTCAGAGTGGGCTTGGGTTTACCAAAGGAAAGTACAGAATTTAAGGATATCTCGGTAGAACTAACTTATCCTAGGACAGTCTGCTTCACTTCGTCAGCGGCATGAAAATGTGCACTTCCATGACTTGAACGATCGTTTTAATTACGGCACAAAATAATGCGTAGATTATGAGTTGATCAGGCGTGCGTTTCACGTGGCTGTAGTTTGGGATCAGGATCACCATGACCGAAATCGTCACTGACGGACAGATGCATAACCGTCTTTTGAGCAGTTACATAGTTTGGATATCCTACTACAACTCCAAATGCCATCACCTTACTGGGCTTGAATATATCCACAAGTTCCTTACCACCGTTGTCTCCCTTCTCCCCTTGGTCAACGATGCTTTACGTGACCTACTAAGCGTGCACCAGCCGGTAGTAATGATGCAACACACTTTCTACTAAGTACTTTCTTGCAGTACCGCCACGTTAGTCCGATTTGACCTGAATGTCCCCCTGTATGTGTCCTTACTTCTGATCTAATCATCGCTCCTGGCGCGCTCTGCGTAGTTTACACTGCTTACATGACAGGAACGAAGGTCATGGTTAATTAAAACTTGGGATCGTTTTGTCTGTTCATCGCTCCCCATCCGCGGATTTGGTTTGACCTCAGTTTTGTATGACGTGGAGGCATTGTGCCTCAACGCTCTTATGCAAATGCTCCTCCATTACCGACTGCCACACAGAACTCGGGGCTTCTACGCATTTTCCTCATTGAATGGATACCTACTTATTTTTTAAAGTCGTAGCGAAGTATACTAACAAACCGAGGAACCTTGAGCTACTGGAAGAACTTGTTGCCAATTTATCTTTTTTTTTTCACCGCTCTCTTAGGCGTTCATTGAGACAGCAAATGTGACTCGCACCCAACCCTGTGACAATTCCGCAAAACAACATACTACCGTCCTCTTGAATACTAGGCTTGAAAAAGCACCAAAATACCTCCTTCTCCATCTAAATCGATTCGTCTATGTGCCTGCGTCTAGCGGTAAGACCCTAATCCATCCACCTCCCGACACAGGGCGACACCGTTACCCTTGTCCAATTCACTTCAGGTGGCAACGTGCTAATGAAAATCAACTCGTTGGTAAAGTATCCAACAAAAAATCTAGATCTCTCCTTCATGTTTGACCAATCCAAGTTGAAGAGCAGTAAGTCTCGTATTGTTTTTCAGCTCCATCCTCTTACTTTTTTTTCTTTGAAATGCTTTTGGTTCGCCAATACTCTCAACAATGATGATACGGTAAACTTTAGCCTGACTGCTGACAGTCAAGCGGTGGTGTCATTTTAGAATCCTTGTGGTGGCACGTGTTGCGTCATGAAACGCCCCAAACTTGGCTTTGCTTCTTGTTAAAAGTGTGCCTCTTGTAGTTCTCACTCTTAATTTGCGCTTTTTTATCCAATACTTTCGATATAAAATACCAATTGCCCTTACAGACGCGGGCTGTCATCCTTGCTTAACTTGATAATTGCTACCTGTAGTTGGTAATCAGATTAGGGGTTTTAGTAAATTTGATTTCAATATTAATTACGCAAATACATGGTAATTAGATTGAACCAAAGTATGCCAGGTGGTGGGGTTAGTTGGAGGGTTCCTTACTCCCCTTGATTTTGATAGACCGGAAATCTAAGAACTCTAGCAACAGTGATTCGGGCAAGCCGGTGTACGAACTCGTGGCCGTCTGTAATCATAAGGGGTCAATCGAGACCGGCCACATTACCGCATATTGCAAGAGTCTTATCTCTGGGCAATGGTGGCATTACAATGACCTCAAGGTCCATAAGGTCTCTCCCGATCAGGTGGGTATACCGGTTGAAAACAAGAACTCTAATATTTTTACTGATCCTACGTTAGTAGCAAAGTTATTTTAAACGAAAATTTAACAGGTTGTCCAACCTGGAGCCTACATTCTCTTCTACAAAAAATGCGACGCCGATGTGGGCAATATCCAAAAGACTTTGGAAAAGTTATTTAAAATCGCCACAGAAGGGAGGGGTTGCCAGGCTGCGAGTAGGTCTTCGTCTTCTGCTCCTTCATTCACCGGAAAACGTACGTCCTCCACCCGTCCCTGTACCTTACTCAACTGGCTGTCAAAACGACCACGGCGGTAGAATTGTTTACGCTCCTTTACCCCCTTCCCCCCTAATTTTAATCCTGTCGCATTAAAAATGGTCTCTCTCAAATTTCACCTCATGGGAGGGGAGAAGGTAAAGGGAGGGATTATTTCTTAATGTGTGACTCACGCTTCTTCCTCTTCATGTGCCATTAGTTATGCCTCTCAGTCTAACACGCGACGTTTCTGTGCCGGTTTAAACTGCCGCATCGGTTTAATGTAATCATTGCTTAGTCATTCTTACCCTTAACTGTGCTTGGTCAGTCACCTTGCTCTGATATACTATTTATTATCCCAATAGGAAGGCTGAGCCAACACCATGGAAACGATTTCGTCTAAATTTACAATATGGTAATACTTTACTTTCGTATTTTACCCAATTGGTCAATTTTTAAAATAATGTCGTTAGCTTTTACTTTGTTGGATAAGAGATGTAGAGCTGTGTATCCACTGCCTTAAAGTGTAATGTAATAATAAATATGTGGGGGAGACAGGCGTGTACTCCATGCGGCAGCCCATTGGACTCCGTTCAGCTGGATTTAGATATGAGTGTCATCTACGCGAATCATTTTGAACAGAGTGGGTGAAAATCAGAGAATAGGTAGGATTTCACTGAAAATGCGTTGGTACAAATATTTGGTTGTGTTAATCCGGGCTGGAATTGGGTCTTGAGTTTCATTTGACAAAGAAATGAGCCGAAAGGCGTCATGTGGACTCATTGTCGCCGTGAACGCCATGTTACAAAGTCTGTTGTTGGTCCGAACTTTTTTTCTTCTTTCGTGAACTTTGAAGCTGGTAACTGCATATGTTAACGAGAAGGCCTTTTTTAGTTTAAGTAATAAAGATTGTCTTTATTATTCACCACATCCTCCAATGAGTAATTTCCCCTAGGGTGGTCAGTTAAAATCTATTTCAAAATGTAGTTTATTTACTTTTGTTTAAGGAAGCTACCCTAGATGTAAAAATCTGAACAATTTATTCAGTAATCCAGTTGAGTGATTCTTAGCTTCCTGTGAGATGAAGTTGTAGTTCTTGAAATTTCTATTGCAATGTTGTAGAGTGCCTAGCTTACTCTTTGAGGGCTTGATTACTATTGCTAAATATGATATCGTAAACCTTCACTGCGTCATTTCGGCAGACAGGGACAATTAAATTCAAATGGATACTGTATTCACCTGTAACCTTTTTGAAGGAAGTAACGGCACGAGAGCCATAACTGTGTAACGTCTGTGTTGTCCCCAAGGGCAGGGATGCATAAATAACCTTAGCAGGGTTGGATGTCCCTGTATTGTTTTGCAATTGAGGCAGTAATTCGACGCCTGGACTAGTCTTGAAGATGTAGAAGGCAGTAGCTTTATCATAGGCACACAGAAGGGTTGGACTGCCGGCAGCGTTGGTAGACCGCCGTGTCAGCGTCACGGAAACCAACTCTCGGGCTTCAATCCTGTTTGCAGTGTTTATGCTTGACGCTCCGCATCAGTCATGGTAGGGGGCTTTGAGTTGATTCAGATGGAAATGAATGATTCGGAGTCAATTATTTGCGACACATCGTCGGTTTCCGTGACGTTCGTTCGTTACAGGCTTGTTGTCAAACGGCACGTGGACACGTTTCGTGTGCTTATCGCGTTTTGTCAGAACTTTTGTCTAGTCTTAAAACTACTCCTGGGTTTTTTTCATTTTATTGCTGGTGAGGTGTTCACTTGAGATACTCTGCGCCATAGAGGAGCGTCATGCTGTAAGAGTTTGGGTTTCTTGAGGTTTGAGGGTAAATCTCATTGCACCAAAGGTTTTGTCGAGAAAGTAGCCCTGTTTTAACCACACAGAGGGACTAGAGGACCGCTGATGTGAGCGATATGGGTGCTCACGTTGCCACGCCATAAGAATTGAGTCAGACCTTACAATTTTGTAGCTCTTCTGGAGAGTATCTTTAAACACACATGGCTATTCGTCCACTTATTGTCTTGCAGCTGCCACAACCCCTTAGCCACGTCTTTCCAACACATCCATCACGGCTGCAGCCTCGAAGGCTTCGACATAGAGGAAGGCTTTAAAATTGGATCCCTCTACGGCGGTCTAGAGAAGGTTGTTCGTCTTTTTGGTCCCCCCTCTACCTCCCCCCCATGCGTCCCTCCAAAATGCTGTGATCTATTGTCAGCCCTCTCTTCTTGTTGCCTTTTATTTCCCAATCTTTCTGTTCATCTGACTTCTCAGTTTAAATGTGACCATGTGGTCTCTCACTACTAGGTCTATTTTTACAGTCCTCTCTCCCTCCCAGCTCAAACAATGATAGTGTTTTTCTCTCTCCCACTCTCCCTCTGTTCCACTTCTCTCTCTAACTTCATTAAAACCATTCATATGCAGATGCAGTTGCGAAATATGACCTCTTCTTCTTTTTCTCCTTCTGAGTAGCAGAGTAAGGCAATTTCAAGTGTGCTTCAAACCTGAAGTGGTGATTTACGATTTGTGAAATGCACGTTTTCATACGCAGCACCAGTTTTACTTGAAACGCCATCTTTGGCACTCTCTGTGCCAGCTCTTTCACATTAAGCTTTAAAGGCAATCACGCCGATAGGATTGCAACTCCCTGATTGTGGCAGGCTTCCAATGTTGCCTGTTTTATTTGAAAAGATAAATAAAGGTGAGTATTTTGGGAAGAACTTCCTAGATGTAAGTGTTTTATGGGTTTTTCTTTGGTACAAAAGGAGTAAATAACTGCAGAGAGCGTCATCAACCATTTCATTTGTTCATGCACACACAGATTCGCGATTACCTCCTCCATAAAAAACGGTGTATTAAGAAGCGTAGATCATTTCTGTTGATTTACTTTTAATTTCCCGCTATCTAGTCTGTTTTGCAAGTGGTCATTTGACTGTGTAATGCAAACGCCACTAGAGGATGACACCCATCAACTGGGACGCATGAGGATGAGGACGCTGATGAGCATGAAGGGGCAGTGTCTCCCC